ATGATAACTGTTTTTGTGATAGAATCAGAACAGATAGATAAATTATGAAGGAAAGACAAGAAGAAAATGAAAAGCTGAGATTGGTTTTTCATCTCTTAGAAAATATGCCAAGAAAAAATATATTTTCATGCATATTTCATTGAGTAAATAAATGCACAGCCATTTTGAGCCATGGTTCCCTTTCTGTTTTATACGTATAGAGAACTTATATATATCACGGTCCTACATGTGGGAAAATCCAGCTGCCTTTTATAATGTCATCAAATGTCCTTCTTGAGTACTGGTGATCCACAAAAAATTTTATCATGTTTTAGCTTTTGAGGGCACAAAGACAAGGCACTTCTTAAATAATGCAGCTAGTGCAATCTCCTAGACAAATGGGAAATTAATCAGTCTCTAAATCCTTGTTTTTTTGAAGACTTGTGCATTTTAAAGAAGACGGAGTAATTGTTTAGTGACTTGGTGCCATTGATTTTCATTATGGATGGTGTTGGCTGGGTCTCTGTTAGGTCACTGGGGAGAAATAGCCTCTGCATAGCAACATAAATTGGGAAAAGAGGCACTTCTTATTTCATATTCACAGGAAGAATCTCAATCCCTAAAGAAGTTTTGCATGACTTTCCCTTAAGTACAACTTTTACCCCTTGTATGATTTTTAGGAAACAGTGACAAAAATCCCTCAGTACCAGTATCGATAGGATCTTGGCTTCAGTGGTGCAAAAAATTCTCTACCTAGGGCAATTTTACAGGAAGTACAAGTCTGAAAACTATGAACAAGATGATTTAAAGCTATTTCATTGAAATCCATAGTGATTTTCCTGGTTATGGTTGAGCATGCTTAGAATAGAAGAATCAAATGATCATTACCTGCTTGAGCTGACAGGCAGAGCAGAATTTCTGTGTACTCGGAAGTTCTGTTTAAGTTAGGTGATTTGCTACTTTATGAAGATTTAGTTGAATATTTCATCTGATACCAAAATGATTACAGTTAAAGTGCCTCTTGTGAGTCCCAAGACAGCTACCAATTCTGATATTTTCTAGATGGGATTCTCACCCATTTGACTTGGACATGGAATTGCTGTAAGTATAAATCCAAATTCGTCTCTTCCTTCTCCATTTTGCAGAAAGGTTGGTTAAACTTTTCTCACTTTTGTTTCAGGTTTTTCTTTTAAACATAACCAACCTATGTATTTATTCCCAAATCCCCATCTATTTAATTTGTGTAAGCTTTGGTATCAGTTTTTTTTTTTTTTTTTGTAAACAAAATTTTCAAAAGCTCCACTCTTTGAAATGATATCTATTTTTTGTGCTTCACAATGAATAACTATTTAACAAGAAATCATATAGTTGTCATATTGTGAAAACTCATTGAATTACTACAGAGAAAAGTACGCCTCTAAAAGGATGTTTGCCTTCCTTTTTTAATGAAAGATGCCAAAACAAATCCCTCTTTTAATAACTAAATTTTTTGACTCAATGATCTGTTGCATGGTTTAGAGAAAAGAGGAGTTATGATTTGCTGGAATGAGGCACTTGGGAGATTTTGATCTTTTAAGCTACTTGATAATCTTCTATATATAGCTATCAAAAGCTGTTAAGGAAATACATCAATTAAAGATATATAAAGAACTTTTGGTTAATTGTATGCAATGGTGTATTACTACATTATAAAAATGTCACCAGTAATTTCAGAGTTTACAAATATTTTTTGATTTATTGATGAAATATTCACTGTGTCAAATTTATCAAGATCTATTCAGAAGACCATTAACAATATTTCAGGTTTTCTGTATTGTCCACATGAAAATAATGGCCTACAGATGCCAATAATATTTGGATCATCATCTTTAGATCAAATAAGATTGATTTATTCATATCTTTGCTTTCTGTTTGAATGTATTCTCCTGAAAGGAAAGTGAATATTGGAATTTCTGTCTGAAAAAAATGTAATACCCAGCTCATTCTAAGTAGTGTTAAACTTTTGTAACGGGAATCCACTTTTCCATTGATCAATTACTGTTTCAAGGAAGCTTTTATCTTTGAGAACTGAGGAGATATTTTCAGAGAGGATGAAGGATAGATTCAAACATTTTTCACCCAGGTCTTTTGGTTATTTTCATTGTACCCTTATATTTAATATCATAACACATTACATCTTGTTTGAGAATATTTCTTGTATAGTAAGAAACAATGACTTGATCAGCTCTTGTCCTGACTGTCTATAAACAACTTACTACTTTATTCCTTTTAGTATTTTTTTGTTCTACTTAATACCATTGGTTGAATTCATTAATTAACACACAATTATTCTTAGCTGTTTAAATTTAACTGAGAAGTGATCCCTGTTAAATATAAGAGTGGGATAAAGAAAGGGAGGAGATGTACAGTTCGGCACATACTCAATCAGACTTTCCCCTAATGGTAGAGGTAGAAACATGCCAGGGGATTCCAATTCAGTCCCTCAAGGTGGCATGTACCAATGCCATCTCACTAGTCAAGGTGATAAGTTTCAGGTCACAATTGATTATAATGATAGGACTAAGAGTCAAAGGGATCACATAAACAAGACTAGTGTCTGCTAATACTAACTGATGGAATTAAAAAGGAGAGAATGATCCAACATGGAAAGCAGGATACACAACAGACTCATAGAGTGTCAGATGTCCTAAACAGCACTCTGGCCTCAGAATCAATCCTTAAGGCATTCGGATCCAGCTAAAAAGCCCATGAGAGTATCTGAGGCATTGAAAGCCAAGATACTGTGGCAAAAAAAAAAAAAAAAATGACCTAACTGAAAGATCTGTGAGTGATCTCCCAGCAGAAAGAATGGGCCATCAAAGAAGGAGGTACCTTTCTCTGAAGGGAGGAGAGAACTCCCACTATGACTATGGCCTTGTCTAAATAAGATCAGAGCTGGCGAACTCAAGATGCTTCCATAGCCTTGGCAGCTCCTGACAAGAGCCTCGGGTGATTACTGATGTCATAAATAAGATTGTTAATTGTTAAATCAACAACAGGGGTTACTGTGCACTTACTCCTTATGTAGGATATCTGTCCTTAATGTGTTGTTCTATGTGAATTAATGGTATAACTAGTGCTCAAACAGTACTTTATACTTTCTGTTTCTGTGTGGGTGCAAACTGTTGAAATCATTACTTAGTATATACTAAATTGATCTTCTGTATATAAAGATAATTGAAAATGAATCTTGATGTGAATGGGATGGGAGAGGGAGTGGGATGTGGGAGGGTTGCGGGTAGAAGGGAGGTTATAGGGGAAAATAGCCTCTATAATCCAAAAGTTGTACTTTGGAAATTTATATTTATTAAATAAAAGTTAAAAAAACAATGGTGCTAGCTGATGTGCTTCTAGTCAATTAAATCATTATACCAAATAAATCTATAACTAAGCCAGGAGAAGTGGAACAATGAGTCAGTGAGCACCTGTACTGGTGTAAACACTAGCCTTGGCTCTCTTCCGTTATGGGGTAATTCCTATTCTTAAGAAGAAAAAATAGATAAAAGAGTTAGGAAAAGAGATGTGATTTAACTCTAAGATTTGTAGAGGCTCTCATATGAATAAAGGGAATTTTTAAACAGAAAACAAGCCCAACCCCCAAAATCACTTTCAGAAAGGAATAAGCTCTCTTTGTAATAGGGAAACTGAAACCTTTGAAAGTAAATATATCCCTGTCATTTATAAACATGAAAGTTCTGAAATCATAGACATTTCAGGTAAAGAAGCATTAAGAAACTCCTGGATAAATTGGTGAGACAACATAGAGTTGAGTCTCCCACTATGTACACTGCTTAGATAATCCAGATGAGAAATCATAGATGACTTTTAAATCAATACTCAATGGCTGCTGATGGAAAATCAATAAAGAAAACTGACAACTACTCAAATAGGTACAATGCATAGAGCACCTAAAGGAAGTCTAATAACCTTTTTTAAATGTTACCATAATTTATAGAAAACATGAAAGAATATGTAGAAAATCTATGTAATTTCATGCATTAACTACTAATGTACACTCATGTGGCTGCAGCAGAAATTGGATAAAGTTATTATGTTTGAATTCCAAAGATTAAATATTTCCTTTTAGTAGTATGGTTAATATTAAACTTTTTATCTCTGTCATATATGCATTTAATGTGCAATATTTTTTTTGAAATTGCTGGAAATTTTCTTAAGATTTTCTGAAAGATGGAGGATTTTAGTGCATATAGACGTCTTTTGTGGATCAATGGCTGTTATTTTCTTTTCTTGAAAATTTTTATTATTTGTACTTATTTAAAAGGCAGAGGCAGGAAGAGAAAGAGACGAAGTGGTTCACTTCTCAAATACCAGATGGTGTTGGGCCAGATTGAAGTCAGGCGTCCAGAACTCAATCTGAGTCCTCCACGTGGGTGATAGGGACCCAACTAACTGGGCCATCATCTGCTGCCTCCCAGGGTATACATTAGCAGAAAGCCAGGATCAAAAACAGACCCATGACTCTGGTATGAGACACGGGCATCTCAAAGTGGCATTTTAATAACATCATCACAAACCTGCCCTAGTGGCTAATTTTTAATCTTGAAATAGCAGTGTGTCACAGGATGTCCTATACTTTAATTTCTTAAAGTTTACATAAAATAAATATTTATTTTTAAATTTTACAATTATAACATTTTATAATTATTATTTGAATTATTTTAAAGTGTTATTTTAAAATAGGCATAATAACAATTCATCAGGGACGTCATTGAGATCAAGGATTTATAGAAAGGATTGATATTAATCCTTGTTTATCATGAAAAATTTAACATTGCTGCTACTATGAATTTGCCCCTTTTTTGTTTCTCTAAAATGAAAAATAACACCTTTATTCCAAGGTTTTTGTGAGAAATAAATGAAAGAGGTATCAATATGTTGGATAACAAAGTAAATAAACTGCAAACATCAGCTAGTGACAAGGAAGGACGTTCTGACTCACTTTTCTCTTTGTTACTCCCTAGGAAGCAACACAGCCTGTCCATTTCTTTGATCAGGTCTGATTCGACTAGTGCAATATTATTTCATCTATAGTTCCTGTATATTTTTTCGTGCTTTGTCCCTCAACTAGAAATTGTTTATATATCAGCATTACTTAAATCAAGACTTTTCAAGGTAATTCGATGTTTTTATTTTCTCCATATACTCACTTGCATTTTGAATATTTACCCACATTTTCCAAAAAAGAGCATTCTACAGATATTTATCAATAGCCGTTTGTTATTTAGGACTTGTGGTAGTCACTATGATGGCAGCATGATGAAGGCATAACTCTGTCTTCCAAGAACCCACCAGTGGGAAGTGGTGGATTAGCAAGGGAGAATGGACATCGAAGTTAAAAGAGGATTTTTAAATATTAGCAACTATAATATATATATATATATATATATATAACTATAATTGGAAGCAAAGAAAAAAGCCCTCAGCTTACATGTCTGTGTACAATGGGAAGGGAGCAATTTGCAGAGAAAACTTGTGGAGATTGTTCTTCTCAAAGAAGGGAAGGGTTTGGGCTAGAAGAAAGGGAACTATTCAATCTTAGATTGATATGCTGATGCACATTGTTACTTTTCTAGTATTAACTAATGCAGTTATTCCTTTCTTACTACCTATGATCACCCATTCAAACAAATAGATTATCTGCTTTTTAGTGAGTTTATGTCTCTTTCTATAACATTTATATGTTGTCAAATTCATTGAGCTAGAAAAGTAAGTGGCTTACACTATTTTGTCAATCACCTGATTTGAAGACAAGTCCTACAAATCTTAAGACAAAGACTTAAAAGGAAAAAACTCAAATGGAAAGTAGAAAATAATTTGGTTCTCTAGGCTTTACCTGCCAATGACACTTTTTGTTGCTGTTGCAGATAAGAATAAACCATTTTTCTTTATTCATAAGTTCATGCAGGTGGCAGAATCTACTATCAATTATAATGTTAAAAATGAAAAGGGTTTGTTTTGTTGGCTTCGTTTGTAACCAACACACAGGCATTTGACTTATTTCCACACTTTAGGCACACTGTCCAAAAATTCTGCTAAAGAATAGAAGATGTAAGGATGCAGATGGTGTGCAGAATCCATTCTGCCAGTAGGCAGCAACAGCAGTGACAGTAAGTAGCACCTAGTTAGACAGTGTCTATATCTGTACTGATAATGACAGTTAATGCTTTCCTGCAAAGGCTCAGGGTATTACATGTGTGGCTGCTATATTTCCTTGAATTCATGCCTATGTCTCAAGTTTTATGCAATGATTCTTCTGGCAATTTTATGAGCTTCTAAACACTTGTTTCCTAATATTTGATGCTTACAGTAAAAAAAGTAATTTTTGTTGTTGAAAGTAAGACTTCTTCTCAACAATACTTACATTAAGAGGGTCTGGAATAGTTGTCACTAACTTGGTATCTTTTACAAGTAAGTGTGCAATATATGGAAGAGAATACATTAACTAAGTCCTCCAAATTTGTGACAACTATTTGTAACTAGGAAGTAAATCTTTTAAACTCGGATAAATAATAATTTTTAAGAGGCAGAGAGAGACATGGGAGAGACACAGATAAAAAATGGAAATAGTGACAGACCTCCGACCCACTTGTTTACTTCCTAAATGCCTGAGAGCTGAGAACTCTGTCCAGATTTCCCGCATGGGTCGGAGACCCAAGTACTTGAGTCATTGCCTGTTTCTTCCCATAGTGGTATTTGCAGGAAACCAGGATTGGGAGTGGAGCCAGGATTTTAACCCTACAATATGAGACTCAGGCCTCCCAAGTGGCATCTTCAACATTGTGCCAACTCCCAACTATGTATTTAGATTTCATTCTCTAAATTTATTCCTATGTTGCTAACATTAGTCTTTAATACATCTTTTTAAAGATTCTATTCTGCCAATTTTATCTTAAACAGGACTCAAGGAAAGTAGTTTATAAACATAAAATCTATTAAAGGTTTACTCCTGCTGGCCATTATAGTGTTAGCAATGGGAATTAGAACAAACAGATGCCAGAATAACTTACTACCACATTTAATATTTATTGAATTTCTACTATTTTTAAGTGCTATGTTGTATGAATTATATGAATTAATCTACGCTAATCTTTAGTCACCCCTACAAGGAAGATACTAATATCTTTGTTTTATAGGTGATAAAATTTTATAATTAGATACTTAAATCATATGCCCAAAGCCAAATAGAAATTAAATGAAGAGCAAGAACTTAAACCAAAGACTGTCTATCTTTGGAACATGAATTCTAGGCCAGGATATACATTGGGACTATAAGAATCTATCATCTCATCTTCCAGCCACGTAATTCTTGCAAAGCTAAACTCAGAGGTGTGTGCTTATTTGTTTAGGAAATCCTTTTGCTCCATTAGTGGGAAATTATTTAGCTTTCTCCTAGTAATATTGCATTGTTGTAATGTTTTTGATGGGTTTCTTTTAGTCAGCAGAAAAGAGATGATGCAAATTATGGTTGTTTTAAACCAAAATCAACCATCTCAATTCTGTGTGCATAAATAATTCCTAAATGAATCTTAATTTCTCTGGCCTCGTCTCAGTGAAGTTAAATGAAGGTCTAAGTGGAGATCATATTTTAAAGTTTCTCCTTGCATGAGTGCCACCCATGCTACCCACATGGGAGACCCAGATGAAGTTTCTGGCTTCCGTCTTCTGCCTGACCCAACCCCAGCTGTTTCAGGCATTTGGAGAATGAACAATCATTGAAAGATTGATTGTCTCTCTCTCTCTCTCTCTCTCTCTCTCCCCACCCTCTCTCTCCATGCATATATATTTTTTCAAGTACATGAATTTTAAAAAGTGCCCTTTTATAAAATTGATGTACTGATTGCTTAAAGTTTGATGAACACCAGTAACAATTCATGTAAAAAACACTTTGTACCTGTGATAAGTATCTTATTAAATATGAGAGAATATGGGAAAAGGTATACTCATATTATTTTCTATGAATATATTCTATTGAGAAGATATGGAGAATGATATTTTATCATCTGGAAGATTCTAATCTAGTCGCATAGTAAATTTAGTTATTCTTTTATAAACAATTGTGCAGCAATTAAAGATTTTATTTGACTAAAAGAAATTTAGGCCAAGATACAGAAACTGTGAAAGTAAAACCAAGGGTAAGAGATGCAAGGTACTATAATAAAAACATTATTTTTAAAACCTGAAACATAATTTTAAACAACTAGTAACAGAGATATGCAAAAAATTCTTGACGTTTTGATGAAATGAACTCTGTGACTCACGAGTATTGAAGAACTGTCAGGAACCAGTGAGATGGCAACTGAGAAAAATGTCACAACACAGATGGAATCTTATAGTGATTTTCTTGAGGGGATACTAAAATATTGGGATTGAGTGATTTAAACAAATCCCCAAGGAATATCAGTCTCTCAATGTGAACATGCTTCTCGGTGGTGGCCTTAGAAATATTAAACTCTGTGATAATCAAATAACCTGTGAGACAGTTCTCTACTCAGAGAAAACATATATGTATGGCCCTTAAAATCAATGATATTTAAAAATATTTATTAGATTTATTTTATTGCTAATAATATGTACATTTATATACATATATATATATATATATATATACAGTAAGTGGGTTGAAGCATGTGTTTTATAACACAGTGAAAGCTTATATAGTGATTCCCTAAAAAGTCCTTTGAAAATTTGATGCTTTGGGGGGACCAGTGTTTTCACCTAATGGTTAAGTTTTCCCTTGTGATGTCAGCATCCCATATGGGTTCTGATTTGTGTTCCTGCTGCTCCACTTCCAACCCAGCTCCCTGTAAATTTGCCTGGGAAAGCAGTGCAAGTAGACCAAGTTTGGAACCCTGCCACCTTTGTGGAAGACCTGGATAAAGCTGCTGGCTCCAGATAGTGGCCTGGCCCAGCCCTGGCTGCTATGGCAATATGGGGAGTGAACCAGCAGATGGAATATTTCTCTATCTCTGTGTTTGTATGTGTGCACGTGTGTATGTGTGTGTGTGTGTGTGTATGTGTCTCCCTCTCTCTAACTCTGTCTAACTCTGCCTTCAGGGACCTGTGGAATAGACACACAGGGCATTCCTGCTTGACTTAGGGAACAGACCAATCCACCTGTTTCCTAAGCCAAGGGGAAGTAAACTCAGGAGCTAGAGACGTACATTCACCATAAAATAGCTTCACAGTTATAGCTTTTCAGCAGTAATATGCTCTTCCTTTTCAATCTCTGCAAGGTCTTTGTACAGGTACAGAGGTCTGACTTTCCCCAAGTGTTCATCAGAGATGGAATGTTGCATATGTGCAGAACTTCTTGGGACAGCACCCAAGACATCAGACTCAATTACTGAGTTCCTTTGTAGTTGCACAGGATTGCAGTGTCCACACAGCACAGAGGAAAATCTGTGTTACACACAGTGATGGTACATAGGTTAACAATATCTGCCTGCATGGAGGCTGGTTGAAGATTACCACCTGGAATCACTAAACTCCAGAAGACACAGCTCCCTTCAGACTGCCTTGATATACTTGGTGAAGGTTACAGCTGCGAGAGGCCAGCAGAAGGAGTGGCTTCCATGGCAACAGCCTGCTTCAGCACAGTCCTCTGGCTGGTGTTCCTGGACAATATGTCACTCACATCTGCAGAGTTGTCAATAACAACAAGGGCGGGAGATGCCAGTGGAAGCTTCTGCCAGGTTCTCCTCAGAATTGTGCTGTAGACAATATCACTTTTCCTTTTGTAGATGTACTATCTCACTTGAAATTCGAGGTTGGCGCTAACTAATGGGTTTCTGCTGCAAAGAATTTGAGGAAATCCTCCCTCTTTTTTACCAGGACATTAGGGGCTCTGGCCATTGTGAAATTTCTCAAAAAGTTATTCAGGGAATCAAGAAAAAATACCAAATGGACTCTTTTCTGGACAGCATGGCAAAAGCCCAAATATTTATGACAAATCACCCTTTAGAGAAAGTAAAATATTCTGGAGTAACCTACATAGTATGAAGCTAGGCAGAGATGAAACGTGGTTATTAATAATGATATACCCAAGACCTCTGTGGGGGGTGGAGAGAGGTTCCCAGAAGACCAGAGCCAGTCAAAAGATTCAGGGTCTAGGAAAGAAGAGAATATATTCAGAAACAGAATTTACAGCTGTTTTCTAGGAGTCAAGGCCCTAGGAACAGTTTTAAGATTTAATTATTTATTTACTTACTTATTTATTTAGCCAGCATTGCTTGTAATGTGTCTCCTTTTAGATCCAATATTTAAAAGATACTGCTGTAATCAGCACCTAATCTAGGAAGATACATGCAAATGAATTGAAGTCATATTTTCTGGTGATATACTTTAATTAGACTTATACTTCTATGGAAAGCATGTTTCCCTGACTGAATTTATTAAAAACACTGTTAGCTCTAATTATAGCAGAACATACTCTGATTTGATCAGGCACACAATTATGGACTCTCTAAGATGGTGATGGTCTACAAATAATTAATATTACAAAGATTATTTTATTTCCTACTTCTTTTAATCATAAATAATTTCTGCATGTTTCTGGACATATTTAGAGAATATCTCAAAAAACATGCCAAATGAAATAAAAAATTCAATAGATCAAATGACAAATGCATATGAGAGCCTTAAAAACAGAGTCAGTGAAGCAGAAGAGAGAATATCAGAGTTAGAAGACAGAGCACAAGAAAGTATACAGTCAAACCAAATAAAAGAAGAGGAAATTAGAAATCTAAAAAATATTGTCAGAAATCTACATGATACTATTAAAAAACCCAACATTCGGGTTCTAGGTGTTCCTGAAGGCATGGAGAGAGAGAGAAAGGATTAGAAGGCATTTTTATTGAGATACTAGCAGAAATCTTCCCATGTTTGGAGAAGGACAGAGACATCCAAGTACAGGAAGCTCATAGACTGCCAATAAACATGACAAAAAGAGATCCTCACCAAGACACGTTGTAATCAAACTCACCACAGTGAAGCATAAAGACAAGATTGTAAAATGTGCAAGAGAGAAACGTCAGATTAATCTCAGAGGATCTCCGATTAGATTCACAGCAGACTTCTCATCAGAAACCCTACAGGCTAGGAGGGAATGGCAAGATATAGCCCAGGTACAAAGAGAAAAAAAAAAAAAACTGCCAGCCCAGAATATTCTATCCTGCAAAGCTCTCATTTGTGAATGAAGGTGAAATAAAGACCTTTCATAGCAAACAGAAATTGAAAGAATTTTCACCACTCTCCCAGCTCTGCAAAAAATGCTTAAAGATGTGTTATACACAGAAACACAGAAACACGGCCATCAATATGAAAGAAGGTAAAAGAAGAAAACCTCCCAGTAAAAGATCACAGGAAGTTCAAAGCATATATTAGAAATATCTTGGGAAAATGGCAGGGCAAAATTACTACTTATCAACAGTCACATAGAATACTAATGGCCTCAACTCCCAGTTAAAAGACACAGACTGGCTGAATGGATTAAGGAACAAAACCCGTGTTTGCTGCTTACAAGAAACACATCTTTCCAACAAATATGCATGCAGACTGAAAGTGAAAGGTTGGAAAAAGATATTCCATGCCAACAGAAACCAAAAAAGAGCTGGTGTAGCCATATTAATATCAGACAATATAAACTTTAACACAAAAACTGTTAAGAAGACATGGAGGGGCACTATATAATGATTAAAGGATAAATTCAAAAGGAAGATGTAACTATTATAAATGTATATGCAGCTAATTACAGGGCATTGGTTTATTTAAAAGATATGTTAAGGGACTTAAAGGGAGACTTAGACTCCAATACAATAGTACTGGGGGACTTCAATACTCCACTTTCAGAAATAAACCAATCAAGCAGACAGAAGATCAACAAAGAAACAGCAGACTTAACTGACACTATAGCCCAAATAGATCTAATAGATATTTACAGAACTTTTAATCCTAACTTCAAAAATTTACATTTTTCTCTGCAGTGCAAGGAACCTAATCTAGGACTGACCACATACTAGGCCATAAAGCAAGTCCCAGAAAATTCAAAAGAACTGAAATCATACTTTGCAGCTAGTCAGACCACAGTGGAAAGAATCTGGAAATTAGCAACTCAGGAATTACTAGAGCATATGCAAACACATGGAGACTGAACAACATGCTCCTGAATGAACACTGGGTCATAGAAGAAATAAAAAGAGAAATAAAAAACTTTGTAGAAATAAATGAGGATAACAACACAACATATCAAAACTTATGGGATATAGCAAAAGCAGTGTTAAGAAGAAAGTTTATATCAATAGGTGCCTACATCAAGAAATTGGAAAGGCACCAAATAGATGAGCTTTCAGCACATCTCAAGGATCTAGACAAACTGCAGCAAATCAGGCCCAAATCTAGTAGGAGAATAGAAATAATTAAAATCAAATTATTAGAGAATATTGGAGAAATCCGTCAAGATATTGACACAGGCAAAGACTTCTTGGAAAATACCACAGAGGCACAGGCAGTCAAAGCCAACATTAACTATTGGGATTTCATCAAATTGAGAAGTTTCTGTACTGCAAAAGAAACAGCCAGGAAAGTGAAAAGGCAACCGACAGAGTGGGAAAAAATTTGCAAACTATGCAACTGATAAAGGATTAATAACCAGAATCTAGGAGGAGATCAAGAAACTCCATAAAAACAAGACAAACAACCTATTTTAGAGATGGGCCAAGGAACTCAATAGACAGTTTTCAAAAGAGGAAATCCAAATGGCCAACAGACACATGAAAAAATGTTCAGGATCACTAGCAGTTAGGGAAATGCAAATCAAAACCACAATGAAGTTTCACCTCAACCCGGTTAGAATGGCTTACATACAGAAATCCACCAACAACAGATGCTGGCAAGGATGTGGGGAAAAAGGGACACTAACCCACTGTTGGTGGGAATGCAAACTGGTCAAGCCACTATGGAAGTCAGTTTGGAGATTCCTCAGAAACCTGGATATAAATCTACCATACAACCCAGCCATCCTACTACTTGGAATTTACTCAAAGGAAATTAAGTTGGCAAATAAAAGAGCTGTCTGCTCCTCAACGTTTATTGCAGCCCAATTCACAATAACTAAGACCTGGAATCAACCTAAATGTGCATCAAAAGAAGACTGGATAAAGAAATTATGGGATATGTACTCTGTAGAATTCTACACAGCAGTTTAAAAAAAATGAAATGCAGTCGTTTGCAACAAAATGGAGGAATTTGAAAAACATCATGCAGAATGAAATAAGCCAGTCCCAAAAGAACAAATGTCATATGTTCTGCCTGATAGGTGACAACTAACTGTACCTAAAAGTAAACCTGTTGAAGTGAAATGCACACTATTAGAAACAATTACTTGATCAGCCCTTGTCCTGACTGCCGAACAACTTACTACTTTATTCCTTTCAGTATTTTTTAGTTCTAATTAGCACTATTGGTTGAACTCTTTAATTAACACTCAATTATTCTTAGGTATTTAACTGAGAAGAGATCCCTGTTAAATGTAAGAGTGGGAAAAAGAGAGGGAGGAGATGTACAGTTTGGCACATGCTCAATCGGACTTACCAAAACAGTAGAGTTAGAAACGTGCCAGGGTATTCCATCAAGGTGGCATGTACCAATACCATCTCACGAGTCAAAGTGATCAGTTTCAGTTCACAATTGATCATAATGAAACGATTAAGATTCAAAGGGATCTCATAAACAAAACTAGAGTGTGCTAATACTAACTGATAGAATTTAAAATGAGAGAATGATCCAACATGGGAAGCAGGATACACAGCAGACTCGTAGAATGGCAGATGTTCTAAATAGCACTCTAGCCTCAGAATCAGCCCTTAAGGCATTCATACCTGGCTGAAGAGCCCATGAGATTATTTAGGCATGGAAAGCCAAGACACACTGGGAAAAAAAAAGAAACAAACAAATAGACGACAGAGTAAAAGACAGACCCCCCCTAAATGAAAGATCTCTGCGAATGAGATCCCAGTGGAAAGAATGGGCCATCTAAGAAGGAGGTAGCTTTCTCTGAAGGGAAGAGAGAACTTCCACTTTGACTATGACCTTGTCTAAATAAGATGGAAAGTCAGAGAACTCAAAAAGCTTCCATAGCCTTGGCAACCAATGACAAGAGCCTCAGGTGATTACCTATGTTATAAACAAGAGTGTCAATTGTTAACTCAACAACAGGAGTCACTGTGTACTTACTCCCCATGTAGGATCTCTGTCCTTAATGTGCTGTACATTGTAATTTAATGCTATATCTAGTACTCAAACAGTACTTTACACTTTTTGTCTCTGTGTGGGTGCAAATGGTTGAAATCTTTACTTAATATGTACTAAAATGATCTGTATATAAAGATAATTGAAAATGAATATTGATGTGAATGGAATGGGAGAGAGAGTGGGAGATGGGTGGGTTCCGGGTGGGTGGGATGTTATGTAGGGGGGAAAGCCACTGTAATCCAAAAGCTGTACTTTGGGAATTTATATTTATTAAATAAAATTTTAAAAATATTTATTGTGGAAAATGTGCTTTAACCATACTTAAATGAACTCTAGTAAAGGGATTATGATAATTCTAACAAATGCATTGGGATAAACATAATACAAATCAAGATATGAATGAAAATGAGCTTGTTTTTTAATTCCAGGGTGAATATGGAATATTGTGTTCATATGTAGTTTCTTTGTTATAGCCTGCATTCACAAACGTTATAATATTTTCACTTGATTAATGTTCTCCTTTAAATAACTGAGAGAGACTTCAAGCAATATAAAAGGTAAACCAAAACAGGCACAGATCCAGTGTGTCTAACTAGGGATAATAGACATTGATTTTGGCCAGGGAAGATAATTGAAGAAAAGAGGATGTAGTGCATTCCCAGGGCAGAGTTGGAGAGAAGTTTGCACTGGAAATTCTACAGAAAGAGAGGCAATGTGGAGCAGTATGGGCAGTACAAACATGGAGTAGCATGAGGGGCCACCACCTGAGACTTCCACAGCCAGGGACTAGAGGAGATGCCATCTTCTAGGTGTGAAGTGAAAGCAGACTGTGGCAGCCCCTGTCACTGGTGATATTGCTTGAGGGAGAACCCTATGGGCCTCATTGACTTTGAGTCTGGCCTGAAGAGCTAGTGGGAGCTATATCTAGTTGGGTTCCCACTCAACTCCATAAAGGAAGAGGACATTCCTTCATACCAAGCCCCTCACAAGGTGCCTGGCAACCATGAGGGAGGAAACATCACCTTAACATGAGTAGAGGTCACAGTACCTCATGGGAATGCATGACTAGAGGATTTTTTCAGAGGGATAAATACACATTCCCCATTGACTTTGAGGCTGGCCTGGAGGATTGGCAGAGCACCCACTTAAGACTGTGAGAAGTCCACTCTATCACAGGCTCTGGGACTCAAACTGTAAGGCAGATCGCCCACAGGGAGCTGGCTCTGGGAATGCCTTTGCTTTCTCTGTGGACGGGAAGGTGCTCCTGGAAGCATGCTCCTGGAAGCATGTGTGGTATAGCAGGGTTTCTGGGCTATCATTGTATCTGTCTTCAGAGGCTCAGGCATCCCTGATGGCCTGGGAAGGGTCATTGCTGATGGTTCCATCCTTATATTGAGGACTACACAGATCCTTTGATTCATGTGCCTGCCTTGGTGAGGTTTGCAGTCTCAACTTTGATGTCTCCCTGGACTCTTGCCCCACACTAAGCATTGCCCAGAGCTCCCTGGTTTAACCCAGAACACACCTCTTTATATGCACTGAAGGAGCAGAGAGTTCCTTAAATCACAGAGGCATAATTCAATGATAAAAGCCATCAGAGGAGAAAACCATTAAGTGTTTCTAGAAATGCCTAAAAATAAATGAAGAAATGCAAGAAACAAGAAGAAGGAGGACATATGGCTTCCCAAGAGGAATACAATAACACTACAATATTAGAATGTGGAAAGAAAGAGATTGATGAAATGCCTCAAAATGAATTCAAAAGAATGATTGTAAGATTACACATATACACAGAGAAACCCATCCATGAAATAAAAAAAAAAAATCCATACCTGATATGGATAAAAAATTTGCTGAGAGATGTAGATATTGAAGAAAAATCAAACTGAAATATTAGAAATAAATAATTCTATAAGTCAAATAGAAAATGCAATGGAAAGCCTTAACAACAGCCTAGGTGAGGCAGAAGAACATCCAAGATAGAAGACAAATCTTTGGAAATAGACAAGAAAGAAGAAAATTAGAAAAACTGAAAATAGTGTTTGATATTTATGAAATACTATGTTTTTTAGGAGTTTCTGCAGTTGTGGAAAGAGAGGATGGATTAAAAGATCTATTCAAAAAAATAATATGAGAAAACAGCTAAAAGGGACATCCAAGTACAAGAAACACACAGAACTCCAAATAGAAAAGATTAGAAGAGATCTAAACCATGGAACAGTATATTCAAGCTCCCAACAGTAAAACATAAAGAAAAGATTTTAAAATCTGTAGAAGAATAATGCCAAATTACCTTAAGTGGATCCCCAATTAGGTAATATCTGATTTCTCATCAGAAACCCTATAAACTAAAAGAGATGAGAGATATAGTCCAAGTCTAAAAAGAAAAAAAAAACTGTTAACCCATAATACTATACCCAGGAAAGCTCTAATATATAAATGAAGGTGAAAGAAAGACATTTCAACCAACCAGTAAAAGAGCATAGGATGCTCAAAGCATATAGTAGAAAATATCTTTGGGAAAATGGCACGGTAAAGTCACTACTTATCAATAGTCACATTGAACATTAATGGACTGAACTCTAAAGTTAAAATGTACAGACTTGCTGAATGGATTAAGGAACAAAACCCATCTATTTGCTGCCTACAAGAAACACATCTTTCTACCAAAGATTCATGCAGACTGAAAGTGAAAGGTTGGAAAAAGATATTCCATGCCAACAGAAACCAAAAGAAAGCAGGTGTACCCATATTAATATCAGACAAAATAAACTTTAACAAAAAACTGTTAAGAAGACATGGAGGGGCACTATATAATGATTAAGGGTTCAATTCAACAGGAAGATGTAACTATTATAAATGTATATGCAGCTAATTACAGGGCATTGGTTTATTTAAAAGATATGTGAACGGACTTAAAGGGAGACTTAGATTCTACTACAATAGTACTGGGGGACTTCAATACTCCATTTTCAGAAATAGACCAATTAAGCAGACAGAAGATCAACAAAGAAACAGCAGATTTAATCGACACTGTTGCCCAAATAGATCTAACAGATATCTGCAGAACTTTCAATCCTACAGCTAAAGACTTTATATTCTTCTCAGCAGTGCATGGAATCTTCTCTAGGATTGACCACATACTAGGCCATAAAGCAAGTCTCAGCAAATTTAAAAGAATTAGAATCATACCCTGCAGCTTCTCAGACTACAGTGGAATGAAGGTGGAAATTAGCAACTCAGGAAAACCTAGAGAGTATGCATGGAGACTGAACAACATGCTCCTGAATGAACACTGGGTCATTCAAGAAATCAAAAGCAAAATCAAAAACTTTCTGGAAGTAAATGAGGATAACAACACAACATATCAAAACTTATGGGACACAGCAAAAGCAGTGTTAAGAGGAAAGTTTATATCAATAGGTGCCTACATCAAGAAATTGGAAAGGCACCAAATAGATGAGCTTTCAATTCACCTCAAGGATCTAGAAAACCTACAGCAAGCCAGACCCAAATCTAGTAGGAGAAGAGAAATAATTAAAATCAGAGAAGAAATCAACATGATTGAATCCAAATAAAATTACAAAAAAATCAGCCAAGCGAAGAGCTGTTTTTTTGGAAAAAATAAACAAAATTGACACCCTAGTGGCCCAACTAACTAAAAAAAAGAATAGAGAAGACCCAAATCAATAAAATCAGAGATGAAAAAGTAAATGTAACAACAGACACCACAGAAATTAAAACAATCATCAGAAATTACTTCAAAGAGTTGTATGCCAGCAAACAGGAAAATCTATCAGAAATGTATAGATTCCTGGACACATGCAACCTACCTAAATTGAACCAGGAAGACATAGAAAACCTAAATAGACCCATAACTGAGACAGAAATTGAAACAGTAATAAAGGCCCTCCCAACAAAGAAAAGCCCAGGACCAGATGGATTCACTGCTGAATTCTACCAGACATTTAAAGAAGCACTAATTCCAGTTCTTCTCAAAATTATTCAGAACAATTGAAATAAGAGGGAATCCTCCCAAATTCTTTCTATGAAGCGAGCATCACCTTAATCCCTAAGCCAGAGAAAGATGCAGCATTGAAAGAGAATTACAGACCAATATCCCTGATGAACATAGACGCATAAATCCTCAATAAAATTCTCACTAATAGAATAAAACAACACATCAGAAAGATCATCCACCCAGACCAAGTGGGATTTATCCCTGGTATGCAGGGATGGTTTAATGTGCGCAGGACAATCAATGTGATACACCACATTAACAGACTGCAAAAGAAAAACCATATGATTAACTCAATAGATGCAGAGAAATCATTCAATAAAATTCAACACACTTTCATGATGAAAACTCTAAGCAGATTGGCTATAGAAGGATCATTCACCAATATTATCAAAGCAATTTATGAAAAACCATGGCCAGCATCCTACTGAATGGGGAAAAGCTGAAAGCATTTCCACTGAGATCTGGTACCAGACAGGGATGCCCACTCTCACCACTGCTATTTAATATAGTTCTGGAAGTTCTAGCCAGAGCCATGAGACAAGAAAAAGAAATTAAAGGGATACAAATTGAGAAGGAAGAAGTCAAACTATCCCTCTTTGCAGATGATATAATTCGTTATTTAGGGGATCCAAAGAACTCTACTAAGAGACTAT